ATCATACCATTATACAAATCCATTGTGTGCCCATATCTTGAATATTGTGTGCAGTTACCGTCTCTACATCTCCAAAAGAATGTAGTAGGATTGGATAAGGTACAGAGAAGGGCAACCAAAATGATGAGGGGGTTGGAGCAGTTGCCAAATCAGGAGAGACTAAAAAAGGGGCTAGGACTCTTCAGTTTGGAATGGAGAAAGCTGAGAGAGGATATGGTAGAAGTCTATAAAATCAGGAAGGGTATGGACCAAATTAACAGGGAACTGTTGTTTACCAAGTACCAGAATACCAGAACTAGGAGGCACCAACTGAAATTCATAGGAGATGGGTTTTAAACTAACAAGAGAAAGTACTTTTTTATGCAATGTGTAGTGAACTTGTGGAATTCATTGCTACAGGAGGTGTTAGAGGCAGACTAAACAAATTCGGGGATGATAGATCTATTAATAGGTATGGAACAGAATGGTTGGTGATCTCACTGTAGCATCTCTAAACCAACAATTGTGGTTGCCAGGGAAAGTAATGAATTAAATATATCTGGTTCAATGCTCTCCCTCTAAAGCATCCACTCCTGCCACTGCTAGAGACAAAATACTGGGCTAGATGGACCATTGACCCACTACGGTACTTCTTACATTTTTATGTTCTAGCGCCTTTGAAAATCTGAGCTATGCCCCTGAAATTCTGAGCAAAACAAATTTCTTTAAAACTCTAGACTAAGACATTATGTTGTGAAATAGTCTGTCAGAAACTGATGAAGGCTCCATAGCCAGAATCTACATCACCAGTGTCTGATCTGACAGACTACTACTGAAGGCCGGGAAACCATCTTGCAGTTGTAGTGGGTTGAGCTGGTTGCTTTAATAGTTAGGTTTCCATGCATAGATTCTCGCTTCCAGATTTCAAACCATTATCTGCTTGAAGTCTATGCTTCCATGGTTGGGCACCATCTCCAAGTCTAGGATAAGGGATGTAGTGACTGCTTTCTTTGATATGCAATGATATTCTTTTGAACAAAGCTAACACAATCAGGATACAATATTCTTCAGTAGAATAGGCTGAAAACAAGTACTTGCTTGATACATCTTTGTCGATTCTTTCAACACATATTCAAATCATGCTGCGCATGGGTTTTTGTAATGAAATAATAATTGCCATTGTGTAAGCACAATATTTTCTAAATCACAAGGCGAATCTGGCCTTTGGTATCTCTGGCTGTAATCATCTGAGCTTGGCTCAAACAGCTGATTTTTATGCATATATATATATGGCCTGCTGAAATATAACAAGCATTGCAAAGAAACAGTCAAGACCCAAAGCTGCAAACCTGGTTCTGCCCCCATGGTTCTGTGGCTATAGAGGACACCACATTACTTCCATGCTGGAGGCCCAGGGCTTGAGAGCTGGCTCCTGGGGCTGGAGGCCCCTCAGAGGGGATTCGTGCACTGCTCTAAGGGAAGTGCAGTTTTCACTGACTGCCCTCTCGCAGCTGCTGCCTTGGGGAACTGGCCTTGCAGCCTTGCTGCAGGAGGCCGCTTTTCCTTCCAAGCCACAAGGGTGACTGCAGCTGCATGTGCTCAAGCAAGTGGGGAGGAATGAAAAGGGGAGGGCAGGGGGAAGGAGGAAAGGAGAGGGGGGATGCCATAGAATGAGTCTGCCCCATAGGAAAAGCACTGCTCAAGTCCTTGTGGCTAGCACTGGCCCTGTGCTCTGGGTGGGAGAGGGCTGGCATGTGTACCCCATGCTCTCCTGCTGCCCAAAGGAGTAAGGAAAGGTGAAGGTGAAACCTCAGCTCAGATACCTCTTCTGCAAATGAAATGAAAAAAATAATGAGCAAGAAGCTTTTGAACTGCATCATTTCTAGAAAAGCAGCTAGTGAATGCACACACCCACGTACATTACCTCATGTACATTACCACACAAACATAGGCACGTGTATGCTTTTGCACACACAGACATACACAACACCCCCCCCCCCCCTTGGGCTCTTGCTGTCTCCCATCCTGGCAAGCGCACCCACTCCGTTTCTCCCTATCTCTGTCTCACACCGCTGTTCAGGTTTAAACTGAGCAACTTAAACAGAGTTCTTCCAGGCAAGTGCTGATAGTGTTGCCAAGCCTGGGGGGGGGGGGGAAGAATAATTTTTGAAGCCCCCTTTTCCTACCAGGAGAATTGTTTGCAGATAGGGAAGATGGATGTTTAACTAGCTTTGTGGATCCATTTAGTAAAGTCAATATGCAATTATGCAAAAGTCTATGATAATGTGCCACAGATGTAGATAGCAACACACTGGCATAAAAGTGGGGGGGAAGGGGGAAGGGGAGGATATTGTGGACATATGTTAACTCTTTCTTGGAGGTGAGGGAAATGGGGGTCGGTCGCCTGGCTCCTCTTTCCTTTTGGGGGCATTATCCTCTTTCACACCCAGACACATGTCCTTTCTTCTCCACCCGGCCAGTTGGGCTTGCAGGTGGCGATCAATTAACAGGCTCCCAGACGAGGTGTGAGACTTGTCCCCTCACTCCAGCCTTGGCTCCGCCTGACCCCTGCCTCCCCCTGCCTTCACTTTCCACCTCCGGGCTCCAGCAGACAAGAGAGGCAGCTGGTACCTGAGAGAGGGGGGAGGGAGGTGGGGGGATAGCATTCATCCTGGCGCTTGTCGCCCGGCCTTCGTCCCATGAGCACACCTGAAATAATAGCCTCAGCCACCAATAAGCCGCTTGTGTCCCCCGCCCGGGCTGGGGCTGGGGATGAGGGAGGCCGGCGGGGCCCCGTCCCTGCCCACCCCCATTTGGCAGGGGGCTCTGCCCAGCCCCCTGCAGAGGGCAGCTCCAAGCCCTGCAGGCAGGGCGGCGCGAGGCGATGCTCGGCTCTTGGGGCTACTTCTGTCTGGCCGGGGGGGGCAGCTGCCCCGCGCTCCCGGGGGCGCCTCAGTGGCCCTGCGGGCAGGCAGATCGGACTGGAGCAGACGCAAGGGGGACGGGGGCTGATCTCTGCCCCCTGCCTGCAGCTGGGACGGGGGGGCCGGGGCTCGTGGTGCCTGGCGGGGGGAGGCGCTGTGCCGGGGGGGCGCTCGGCAGGTAGGGCTGGGGGTCGGCGGCTGAACAGAGCGAAGTGAGGTCCCAACAGCCCCCGCAGGCTGGGTCCGGCGGGGCGAAGGGGCTCGTGCTGGGCTTCACCTGCCTCGTGCGGCAGCCCTGCCCTCCCAAAGCCGGACGGCGGGTCCCCGCAGCCAGCAGCCCCGCTCTCCTCCGTGCCCGGCACCCGCCAGGCAGCGTCCCAGGCCGCCTGAAGTCTCCCCTCCGGGCAGGCACCAGCGGGGCTCGGGCGGGTGAGCTGCGCGGCTCCCGGTGGTCGGCGCCCCCAAGGGAGAGCCGTGCTGCCCCTGCAAGCGCTGCTGGTGTGGCGGCACCGCGCCCGGCGCCTCCGCCTCCCAAGGCTTTCATTGGGATGGGGAATGGCGAGCCGGGCTCCACGCGTCTCCTCTCCTGGGCGCCCTGGTGCATCGCCCGTCCCCTGCCAGCCCGGCGCGGCGCGGCAAGGGGGGCCGGGGCTGGGAGGTCGCACAGGCGGCGTGTGGCGGCCACGCTCCGCAGGCTGGGCGCTCCTGGAAGGCACTGCCGAGCGGGGCACGTACCTGGCGGCTGAGCGACTGATGCTGCTGGCTCCAGATGTGCTTCTCCTGCGGGGTGGCAGACTTTAAAGTGATAGAATATATAGTATGTATAATGTAGGATATGTAATATAACCTATAATGTATACTGCAGGTAGCATCAAACTCTTTCTCAACAGATATACGCACATTAACATCTCATGGATGTTATTTAGATATGTATAGATAGCAGAGTTTATATATCATGGAATGCATTACACAGGATATATTGCACATTATGATGCATTAGAGTATATAATGGCATGTATTGCATAGTCTGTATTCCAGGTTCTGGTGCATTAGAGTGTATCATGTTATTTATGACATATATTATACGTTATGCTGAATTACAGTATAATATCGTGACTTGCATATATTATACATTGTGCTGCATTATAGTATGTCATATACTGTATTACATATTCTACATTACACATTATGCTGCGTTGCATTATATCATATAATGTATTACCTATATATTATACAGTATGCTGCATTATAGTATATACTGTCACGTATTACATGTATTGTATTATACATTGTGCTGCATGATAGCATATACTGTCATCTATTACATATACTGTATTATACATTGTGGGTGAACTATTGTGTATCATATACTGTATTACATATATTATACATTGTGCTGCATGATTTTGTATCATATAATGTATTACATAGTCTATATTAGACCTGCTGCATTCTGGTATAGTATATCATGTATTACACATACATGATGCTGTGTTATAGTATCTAATATAGTGTATTACATATATTGTATATTATATATTATACATTATGTTATATATCAATATACGAATAATATGCATAAGACATTTTACTGTACACATATATAGAGAGAAAAAGTTTGACACTGCATGCAGCTATAGGCATATATTAAAATAGACCATTTCAGAATATTTAACGTTTCATAATGTTTTAGGAGCCCCTTTGACTGTCAGATTTTGCTCTACATGTAGGCTGACATGAAGTTAAGTGTTGCTGGGTTTTTGCTTGCTTGAGTGTTTGTTTGTTGTTTTAATTTAACAAAAGGGGGTTGATTGCAGTCAGTCTTTATATAATTTTAATTTACTACCCCATCTACAAAGCGCGAGGTAGCTTTTGTAAACTCTCCTTCTCCTGGCTTTTTTTAAAAAACCCACAGCATCCTATACTCTGTGCGCGCTGAAAATGAAAGGGGAAAATCCCCAACTTCTACGTGTACCTAGGAGCATCCGGGCAGGGAGCTCCCGCAGCAAGTCTGCAGGAGAATTGCTTGCGAAATGAAACCAGTAGAATAGCTGTTCCCACGTCTTAAAAGCACCGTAGAAATAAGGCAGTACTCACCTAAATGCCCTCCCCCTCTCCAAAACTATATATTTTTTCAAACGTCTTTCGCTCCTTACGTGGAGCTCGGGGTTGCTCGCATGTGAAAGATGCCTTTTGCCTGGGGAGAAGCCTAAGGTACCTGCATCCCCGACCCCCCAAAATTCTCCCAGAGGAGTAGTAAACCACGTCCAAATATTCCTCCCCAATTCTCTCTCTCGCATCTATCTAGATGTCCAGTTCTGTCTCACACGTGTCATTCAAACTGTCTTCACGAGCTCGGTCTCAATGTAGCTGATTGCTGCATGCACTGTATTTGAGCCCTTTAAACTGGAGCTCACCGGATATTTGGACGTCGTAAAAATAAATATAAATACTTAAATAAATAAAACTACAGCTCTTGTGGCCAGGGTGCGTTTTCATTCCTTTCTGCCGAGACGCGGGACGCCCCTGGCCTCTCCAGTGCCAGCTCCCATCCTCTCCGAGAAACGTACTTGTAGCCCAAAGAAAGTTGCAGTAAATCCTGGCTGTAGTATTTTCATTGTCCAGTAGACGGCGCAAAAGCTCAAGCCTTCAAATGCAAAACAATCGACCAGATTTTTTTTTAATTAAGCAACCAGAAATCTACCCAGCAATTTTTTTATTAAGGGAAGTACAGCAACATAAATGGAAAAGCGAGGAGCCTTTGAAATATGGTTAAAGAAATTTGTTCGACGGCTCCACGAAATACTAATATTAATCACTCAAATGATAAACATCCCAAGTGTAATTGTGGTCCTGTTACGGATTGTAATTTAAGATACAATAAATTGACTAGCGTCTTCCTAGATTAACTCCGTTTGCATCGTGCGCCCATACCAAGTTGTAACGAGGATCTTTGTAGTTATCTTTGTGACTTCGGTCGTTCATTTGATCCCAAATCATTGCAATATAAATGTTTAAATAGTAATGTACCGGGTAACAGGCTAAAAAGCTCGGACTTAAGTCCTAATACTTCGCGGAAACCGTCCCTCCACACGACTGATATGACCAAGAGAAATATAATTCTAGCCCTAAGTGCGACTCCCTCTTTCCCTCCCCAATGTAAAAACCTTTGGTGATATTACCCTTTCTCTTTTTTTGTTGTTTCTGAAAGATTCCCATTTTGCCTCCCCTCTCCATTCACTGTCTGGGCAGAACAGTGAAAAAAAAAGGTCCAGGCTACTAACTCATTTCTCAGTTAATTTTATGAAAAATTTATAGCAGTGTTTAGAAAGTTTTAAGGCAACCGTAAATTTTATTAGGAATATTTTATGAAGCCCTCCATTTAATTAATAAAAGACCTCTATAACTTCTAAAAATGTCAGAAGTGGTAATTATGTTAAACAGTGGAGAACCTCCCCCCTCCCCCCCATTCCCCTCCATCCCCGAGAGTCCAAATTCTCCTAAAGATTTGGAAGAGAGAAGTCGAATGAAAGCACTTCTTTCCTTTGCAAAGTGCATTTCGGACATTAGCCATTCAGACTGTTTACTGAATACAGTGCCTTAACTATTTTGTCTGTGACTGTTGGATAGCACAAGCTGACCTCCAGTTGACTCCTGAACTGGACCAGGCGCTCTTTGTTTTCTGAAGCAGGATCCAGTAAACAAACCTCTCCTCCCTGCCCCACAGTCCTCCTCGCATAGGGGCACTTGATTCCCATCTTCACTTAATCCCCTTCAGTTAACCTCCTTTTATTATCACCTTTTCAGCTTTTGCCCTTTAATAGATCTTTAAATAGTTTTTCACCTTGCTCCCAACCATTCATTAGGCTTTGACTTTTTTGGTATCTTCACTCCTATCACTTCAACCTCTTATCTGCAGCATTCCTTTATTATCTCTCCGCTCCATTTCAAATCTGTATTCTTCGGGGGGGTTGTCCTAATTTCAGTTTCAAATGTAAATATTAATGGGGAAAGAGTATACTCTGTGGCTGATTCCCCACTCCCTCCAGTTGCAAGCCCCCCATCTGTGAGTGCATCATCAAACTATAAAAGCAAGCAGAAAACTAGAAAATATTTTACTGTTACTAGGGATGACTAATGCGTTCCTTAAAGTAGGAAATTCGGGCTGATTACCAGTCTTATTTATTATGTGATAAGCTAATGTATACAAATTCCACCTAATGGAGGAGTTTTCTTCTGCTTCTGAAGCATTTTTTGTCTGAATCATCATCATCATGAACTTTGAAAACTCTCCTAACTCATGTGAAGGGCCTCGCTCATACAAATCCAAATTACAAACTTCTGGGCGGGGGGGCGGATAAAGTGAAGGACTTATCTCGAAGCAGTGCCTACGAGGCTTCAGAGCAAAACATCTTCAATGCTGCATCTGTTCAATGCCGTTGGAGGGACAGGAGGACGAAACAAAAAAGATCTATCTCTAAGATGCAGTTATGCAGATTTTTCTGCCTAATTGCCTGTTTCTCTGGAATAATCCCTGGAAAGCCCCGCTGGTTATTTTTATAGCATACTGATAAGTGTGAAACAGCAATCGGACCCTAAAGTTTTGGCCAAAATAGTTCCATTTCCTAAAAAGGCAGCAGTTGGAAATGTGTGGGTCGCTGTAGTCACAGCACACATAAATGTCGTTGGGAGTTTACTGAGATAGTGGGGAACTGTCCGTTTACTTTTCCCTTTTAATAGATGATTAATTGCTGCCCGGTTAGTCTTTTTATGGCCACTATATTGCAACTCGAGCCGTCCTCAGTGCAATTTCTCTCAGCAAGCCCCAACAGTAATAACTGTTTGCTAATTGTAAAATCCTTATCCAGAATGAGGTTTGGGCAAACAATTTGTACTACTGTAATTACATTGTAAAAGTGTTTCAGCCGCGATTGTTCTGAATTAATCTTATAAGGGCCTGGTAGTGACGTTAGGTTCAAGATTAACACCCCCCCCCCAAAAAAAAAAGAAGAAGAAGGGTTGCATTTCTGGAAGGTAAGCTATAGCTTCCTCTGAAAGCAGCCTGTGAAGCAGGGCATAGCTGCCCGAATTAAATAAATGTAGAGATCAAACCTACGGCTGCTAACAGTACAACAAATCTTTCTAATACTTCCATGGTGGGGGAAGGAAGTGTTAGGGCATTCAAATGTTCTTACCTGGAAAGTCTTTATTTTCATCGCAGGTATGAAAGGTGGTGTTAGAGCAAAAGGGGGGCAGGGCAGGGAGGGGAAGGGGGTTGGAAATCGAAGCTGGCTTTCTTGAAGTTTGAAATGTCGCGGCCAGAGATGGACTAAACACTATCTGAAGGCTGCAGATGGTTCTGGTTGCTCTTCTCCAAGAAACTCCGCAAAAGCAGCTTTGCCCAAGTGCAGTTCACAGTCATTTCTGTCTGGGAGATTTGACTAGAATTAAGCCCCCTATGCAGCTCATTTAGGAGCCGTTGGATCTTTATGGGTGAAGAAGTTATTGTTTCATTAGGCATCCCCACGCCAGCCCGTTCCTACCTGCTGAACTTGATCTTTCCTTTTCCTAAATAGATCTGCAACCTCTATCAGCCAGGTATAATATGAAACAATTGCACCCCGTTGCAGACAGAGAGGCAGGGCATTTTAGGATACCACGGAGCTCTCTTAATGGCAAGCTTGATGAAAACAGTTTGATTTTGCATCTTCGCTGCAACTACAGGTTCAGAAGAGTCGCTTCATTTTGCTCTTGAGCCTAAATCAGTTTTGCCCCCCTTTTCCCCTCGCCTCCCCCTTCTCCGTCCCCGCACACACTTTAAAAAAAGATTTAGGTGGCAGGCGGGCGTTATGTTGCTGCTGGGAATTCTTCCTCTCCATGTCACGATCAAGACTTTGGCCTGGCCGAAATCTTGAGTGATTCGTTTAATTTATTTATTTTTTCTTTTGGTTGTTGTTCAGACTTATTGACTGGGCACCCAACGAGAAATAGTTTTAAAAACGCCGTCCCAGCGCCACCCCAGTTCAGAACCAGGGAGGGGGTCTTAATAAAGAACTAAACCGAGAAATGACTTGCAAAGGAACCTGGAGTGTTTGGTGGCAAAGGGTGGCTTTTGTTTGGAGGAAGTCTCCCTTTAGTGATCCGGCTTTGCGGGGGCAAGTTGTGTTGCCTTGAAATAAATAAATAAATAAATAAATGAAAGTTGCAGCTGGAGAAACACGGGAGACCACGATCTCCATGAGCCACAGCCGGCAGAGGTCGGATCCTGCCGGGCCCTGAACGCACCCCCGCAGGCAGGGCTCGCAGCTCCGCAAACGGGGGCATGAGAAACAGGCAAAAGCTGGCACTGCCTCGCCTTGGAAAGTAACCTGCCAGCCCCTGGGGGGTGTGATGCGGTTCATTCAGCACCCTCTCCCGCCGGGCTAGCCGGATCGGGCAGTGCCTTGCTGGGTGGCAAGGGTTAAAAGCTGGTCTTTATATAGACTAGAGGTATACTCTCTATATTAGGCATCACATAGACATAGATAGAGACACCCACACGCCTATATATATGAATGTTGAACTATATGTGCGTATATACATACGTGTGTCTGTATGCGTGTGTGTATATATCTATGTGTGTGTATAGGTTGTAGCTGTGTTTATCTAAGGATAAAAGTCTACGGTCTTTGGGTAAAAGAACCTTGTCTGCCTCTGTGTGTGTGCGTATACATATATACCGTGTGTGTGTAGTGGTATGTGTAATCGTGTGTGTGTGTGTGTGTGTGTGTGTGTGTGTGTGTGTGTGTGTGTGTGTGTGTGTGTG